AACAAATCCCCATCGTTAAGTGGCGCCTGACCATATCAGCAGCTCCAAATTCTTTAGTACGTAATTAAGATGGGTTTCCTCCTCCCCCTTGATGCCCACATCTCTCCCCCTCCCCCCATACATCCACACATTGGCTAAAAGTACCAACAAGGATCTCTTCACTGTGTTGAGAGTAGGACGGGAAGAGTCAACTACCTCAGCACAATCGGACAAAAACATCACTGAGCTATTCATGCACTCCACACTTTCGTTAATTTATTTAGCATGACCCTGCCTCCCACGCATACTGGTTACTTTAGATCTTCATCCACAGGTTCCTTAAAGGGAGTATGGGTACAGCTTTAAAAAAAGTCAAGTTCAGATTATCCCTATTGAGATAATTATCCTGGATATGCTATATAATTAGTAATTTATGCTCTAGATCCAAAAGGCCACACCGTGTATGATTCTATTTATATGAAATATCCAGAATAGATAAATCCAGAGAGGCAGAAAGGTCACTGAATTTTACACTTTAAAATAGTTGATTTTATGTTATGTAAATTTCACCTCAATAAAAAAGTTGATTAATTCAGAGACTTCAAGGGACTGGACCCTACCTGCCCTCCAAGAGCCACAAGTTCTAGAGAGCCAGAGGCTGACGGGCCAGCTGCACCTACAAAAACTAACCTCAGACACTTCCCTGTTGTTAAAGATTTTGGATGCTGAAAAAAAAATTAAATCAGAAACCTTAAACTGTAGAGAAACTAGTATTCATGGTATTGTCCACCCTTTTCTGGTTTCCACACCTGCCTACTCACAACGTAACCAGCAGGGGTCACCTCATTTTGTTACAAGGAAAAGAATAGAAGAGTCAGACTACTTAAGGACAGTTAGGGGGAAACCTATCAGCTTAAGTAGAAAAATACCAGGGGTGCCAAAAAAAATGTATGCACATGACTTATTTATCTTTTGTTATCGGTATATATTGAATATTACAATTTTAATACAGTTTTTCCTTTCTTAAAATGTGTATACATTTTTTGGCACCATCTGTAAATAATAATATAGGTGCAAATCTTTGAAAACATGCACAGATGTATCACCACCAATTTACATTTGAGAAGTTATTCATTTAAGATCACATAACTAGTGAGTGCTGGGTCGGGACTAGTCCTGAAAGAAACAGCGTTGGGGAATCAGGGAAGGGGAACAAACAAGTTGCTGTCCTTTTCTTCAGTCTAGTTGTGGAAGATGTCGCTTCACTGGCCCATGTTGGTATTATCTTTGCGCTCTTTCCGGGTGAGGCAATCGGTTGCTGGCAACTGGATGGCAACTCATGGCAGCTCACGGCAGCTCATGCCAGCTGCCAGTTGCTCACACTGGCTGCCAGCTACTCACGGTAGCTCATGGCAGCCCACTGCAGCCCCGTTGCAGCCTACGCCATCGCCGGTGACTCACGGCAGCCCAGCTCCAGGTCGAGCTGTTGTTCACCATCTTAGCTGTAGAGGGCGCAGCACCACTGGCCCTCATGTGGGATCTGAACCGTGGCCCTGCTGCTCAGAGCCAGCACTCCCAAGCCAACTCTTAACCAAAGCACCACATAGCCGGCCCCACCAATTCTTTTATATTAAAACGAACAGGGTGATCTTAATATAAACATATATTATACCTAGAATTAGATTGATTTGGGATCTAGATGTTCTGTACATAAATGATATATTTTTTCATTTCTACATGGCAAGAGAGAAATTATTCCTGTTCTATATCATTAGAACATATTGTGATTCTTATGAATTACACTTTAATTATGAATTAAATGAACATTTTACAAGTAATTTTGTTTTCAGTACTTACTGATTTTGTTGTTAATAATACACATTTCATAAGCTTATTAATTTTAAATATTACTTTATCTCTCTTCTCCCCAAAATCTCATTCATGTTCAAGAATGGATGGATGGATATATGAATGTAATTTTATACAAATGGAAGTAATGTTTTTCTGTGCAGTTATAATTACTCTTCATTATAACTCCTGTGTTCAACCATTTAAGAAAGAACAACATGTTAGGAAATAGTATGTAATGATGCAGTTGATAACCTCAATGGCCATCGATCCCTTAAGTACAATTCAGGTTGTTTTCCATTATAATATTTCCATATACTTGCTCAAAGCTCATCCATTACCTTTTTTGGGGGGTTTCAAGGAGGAGGTGAACCTTATACAAATTTATGAGATGAACTCAATCTTTATGAATTGTTACACAAATTTAATAATGTTCTCCATAAAGTATATATGTATGGCTAGGTAAACACAAAAGAAAGGACAAGAAATGAAAGGGAGGGGAAAAAGAAAAACACTGGAGATAGAAACGAAACAAAACTGCAGGACCCTGCAGCTTGGAAAATACTAGAACCTTATTGAAAGTGATTGAACAAATTAAAAAAAAACACAAACCATTATCAGCTATTTAAAAAAAAATGAGGGTTTGAGGTGAAGTGAAGCTCCATTTGTCAACAGGAAGCTATGGGCTCTGCACCTCTATTTATATAAATATTTGCTTTTTCCATCTTAGGCTCTGCCCAGAAGTTGTCGTTTGACTGCTGCTTCTGGCTTTGCTTGACTGGCTTTTAGAGAGAGAGAGAGAGAGAAAGAAAAAGCTGTGGCCACCCGTTTTTTTTCTCCATCACAGAGAAATGCAACAAGTCACTTTCACTAAAAGATACATGGATTTTAATTTTTATTGGAGTGTTGTACTTTGAACCAAATTTTTGCCTCCTGAGTCGACAAAACTATAAGGACAGTCCTTCCACGGTTGTCCTGTTACCCTTCCATTCTACCCTGTAAGGTTCCAGATCTCTTAGGACCTCTTTACCATACTTTCCAAATTCCCTTCTCCCATACAGACACATGAATTCCCATCGTGTAGCCTCCAGGTTCCCCTGCCCTGATGTTAACCTGTCATCACTCTCCCATCTCCTTACCCCTCTTGTCTGGTGTCCTTCTACCTTCTTTCCTGTTTCTTCTCAGATTTCTTTCTTTACTGTGTTACAGCTGCTTCAGTACAGAAAGAAGGGGACAACTTAGAGGCTGCAAGTTGTTTACATCTTCTGACCAGGTGTAAAATATTGGGCTGTTGGAAAAGTCATGAAGTACTTTTCTATGTTTTTCATTGCAAAAATGCGTCATGACTTTTCCAACAACCCATTTGGTTAAACATTTAACTTTTGCCTCAAGCACCTTTAAGCAGAGGAGGGTGGAGCTTGTGGCTAGCAGTTTGATGTCATATACTGCTTCATGTCATCAAAAGTAGGCCCAGAAGTGGGAACACCAGCTGGAGTTTGCACCATCTGCCTATTAGTCAAAATAATAGAGAAAGTATGCATGGAACTATATTTAGAGAGTACAGTGCACACTTGAATGTCCAGAACTTGTTCATTCAAGAAGAAAGAAGAACTTTCTTTAATCATAAGCATGAAATATGAAAAAAGACCAGGATCAACTCAACTTTGGAAGAGAAAATAAGGGTGAACCTTATGGATAGGCAGAGGAGGCTGCTATCTCTTCAAGGTACCAGGAAGACATGAGATCTCAAAAATTGCCTAACTTTGGGCCGGCCAAGTGGTGCATTGGTTAGGAGCTGGCTTGGGATACCAGCTCTGAGCAGCAGGGCCCGATTTGGATCCCACATGTAGGCCAGTGACGCTGCGCCCTCTACAGCTAAGATGGTGAACAACAGTTCGACCTGAAGCTGAGCTGCAATGAGTCGCTGGCGAAGGCATAGGCTGCAGTGGAGCTGCAGTGGGCTGCCATAAGCTATCATGAGCAGCGGGCAGCCAGCGTGAGCTGCCAAGAGCCACCGTGAGCAGCCGTCCAGTGACTGGTAACCTATCTGCCTCAGCTGGGAAGAGTGCAATGATCACAATACCAACATGGGCCAGTGAAGCAACGTCCTCCACAACTAGACTGAAGAACAAAGGACAGCAACTTGTCTGTTCCCCTCCCCCAGCACCCCAATAAAATCTTTAAAAAAAAAAAAAAAAGGAACTGAGACCAAAAACAACCATCAAAACTTTGTCCCGGGACCATTCTTAGGAGAAAGTTATGGGGGAAAATAAAACTTTATAAGGATGAGGAAAGAAAGGCTGAGAAACAAGTAAGAAATATTGGTTTACGTAACAAGAAGAGTAAAAAAGGTACACAACATAAGAACAATGAGAAATGGCAAATCACAGGAATTTTTTTTTGAAGATTTTATTGGGGAATTGGGGGAGGGAACAGCGTTTGGGGAATTGGGGAAGGGAAACAGACAAGTTGATGTCCTTTTGTTCTTCCGTCTAGTTGTGGAGGACGTTGCTTCACTGGCCCATGTTGGTATTATTATTGTGCTCTTCCTGGGTGAGGTAGTCGCTTGTTGGCTATTGGACGGCTGCTCACGTGGCTCACGGCAGCTCAGGAAAGGTCACACCAGCTGCCAGCCAGCCCCACTGCAGCCTACGCCGTCGCTGGTGACTCAAGGCAGCCCAGCTCCATGTTGAGCTGTTGTTCACCATCTTAGCTGTAGAGGGCGCAGCGTCACTGGCCCTCATGTGGGATCTGAACCTGGGCTCTGCTTCTCAGAGCTGGTGTCCCAAGCCATCTCCCAACCAGCGCGCAACTTGGTCGGCCCCAAACACAGGAATTTGATCATGCAAAAGAAATAAGAATAAAATACGCAACTTCACCTATCAAGACAGTTGGGCCTGAAGAGGGCAGAAAAGAAAGAATTTTCTGGTGTACTGAGGAGGGGCCACAGCCAGAGGAGAGTAAATAAATTGGGAATGTTGGACAACCAATGGCAAAGTTATGGAGTAAAGGATACAACAGAGAATAGCAGAATAGGGAAATTTGAACAATATTGGTATTTAGTTTTCAAAGGGATAAAAGCATGCATTCAGGTCTTCTTTCTAAACATAAAGTAGAAAAAGAAATAAGCAGACCAAATTCCTCTCTTTTCTGAGAAAGAAATTGGAAAGAAAAATATTTTAAAATGTTTAATTTGCAATATACACGATACTGGGATTGAGGTGATTTCTGGTGGGAATGCCACCTCTCGTTCATTATGAAGTAGGAGGGTCAAGTTCATGAAGAAATTCTTACATGATTCTTCTTGGAAACTCGGTGCCTTTGAGATTTCTCTGCAGTAGCTACAATATGCATTTAATATGTCTGTCTATATATAAGTACGTTTACTTCTAGAGACTGGAGCAGAGATTACATGCTTTGGAGAGTTTTCTAACATTTCTCTTTTATCAATTGTGCAAATTCCATTAAAGTAAATTGCTTCTTAACAGCAAGAATCCAATCTTCAGTTAGGTAGTTTTCTCAGCAGTATGAAAGAAATCCACCCCCTACCAGGTGGCATTTTGTCACATGTAACTGGTTGTTTCCTAGTTCCTACTTAAATTCCATTGACTTTTTTAAAAGGATACTGAGTTATTCAGGTGGAAGTTTCATAATATATAATTTTTCACTTATAGTGGACTGCTGTTCTAATATAGGGTATTTCCTCCCTTATAAAGCAGACATGGTTGTTGTGAATTAGACTGCATCTAGGCTCCAAAAAATAGGAACAATGCATTTAAATCTTGAGAATCATAGTATTAAAACAAACCTTAGAACTAACGTAAATTGAACCTTCTCATGTTAAAGATAGGGGAAATTAAAGCAGGGCCTAATGAGGGAACATGGCTTATCTGAGACTACCTGGTCATTGCTAGACCCAGGATAAGAACTTGGGTTGTTTAAATATGTGTTTCTTTTACTCTTTCCTGTAAACTATTAGATAAACTTAATGCCTGTCTATTAAAGTTCAGGTCTGACTGCCCATCTTAGGCCCCAAATCAGGCTATTCCAGAATCTATTTGCATAATAATCTCTAAAGATTTTGGTAAGTGGTGAGAAGGAAAGAAGTAGCAAAAACTCAAGAAAACTCAGACCAGTGATATGGTTTGACATTAGTTGTCTAATTAAGCTGTGGAGATGGGTTAATCCCAATACTACCATAAATGAACAAGAAAAATGAGACTTAACTTTCCAGCCCTACTTGCCGATTGGACAACCACATCAAAACTTGAATAGGGAATCCCGAGTCCAAGTTCTATACTTGGCATACTCCTCTCTCTTTAGCCTCAGCTTCTGACTTCAGCAGAAGACATTTTGGGTCTTTATATTGCTGTAGGATTGTATAGGTCTAGGCTCTGGAGAATTTTCTAGGTATACAAAAAATCATCATGATCTTTCTCATAAAGAGGTTCTTCCAGGCAAATGTTAGGCCAATCAGCAAAATAGTTAAAACAAGAGTAAAGAGGACTATGACTTTATAGATGAATGGGGAGTGAAATCTAGGAAACTCTTGAAAGGAAAGTAAGTGAAGTTCTATGGCTAGGCAAAATAGACAGCAATAGCTTCTTTGACCCTAAAATCTATCTCAGACAGATTCAATAGTAAATGCTATTAACTTGAAGTCTATTTTTCTTTGAAATTGTATGTAGAATGTTTGTATATAAGCCCTGTGGTCATCATTTATCTACTATGGCTATAATATTGGGAAGCAGTAAAACTATGCAATAATATAGACCTTGTATTGTAAGTACTGAAAAAATGAAAAAATGAGATAAATGTTATCAGTCTAGGTGAAAACTCAGGAGTAGGGGCAAAAGCTAAACAGTGCAAAAGGACTGGTTTAAGAAATACTAATGTGGATGAGTTAGCTGATCATGGTTGGACAAGGAGTTCCCTCTTCCTAGAGCATTCTCTTCCTCCCACCCACATATTCTTCCCTCTGGATGATCACAGACCACTGGGTCTCTGCAAATTCACATTTTCACAGGGAGGAAGTCGGAAGTAGTTGGAGCGTCTGAGTCGTCTTGGGGGAAGACCAGCCATCTGACGGCAAAGCTCATCTAGAAGAGAAGCAGAGCATGGGATGAGAATACAGGAGGATCCCAAGGGCTCAAGTTTTAAGGGAAAGAGAAGACTGCATTGTGGTAGAGAGAAAAGGTCAAAGAGAAATAGATCTGAGTTAGAATCCCGGCTCTGAGACTTAATAGTTCTTTACAACTTACTAGAAAGTTTCTTAACTTTTCTGAACTTCACTCTTCTGTAAAATAAGCATTAAAATACCTGCCTCAACAGTTCAGTTGTGAGTATTAAAATGAAACAATGTATGCAAAGTACCTAGCACAGGTGGTCAGTAAGTGTGAATTTCCTTTGTACACCTAGCTCCCAATTCTTCTAATCATGGACGTACTAACTAGCCAAAAAATGAGGTCCAACCACTCAATATATATTTAAGTGTTTACTAAGTGCAAACAGCTAACTTGACTAAGTCCCCTGAGACACTTGAAAGTGCCTAGAGTCCCAAATACTCATCCTCAATCTCAAGGTGCTTCCCTTGCAGGTGGCTTGCACAAAGCCAGTGGGGGCAAGCAGCAAGTTTCCTTCTGCGAAGTTAAGTACAACTCTTACTCAGGAGCTCAGTGCAAGGCAGGCTGCTGAGTCAGAAGTGGCTTGTCTGTGGTAACTTCACCAACCACAGCCACCTTTTGGGGCTGGCGATGGGAAAAATAAAAAGTATCTTTGTTCCCACCTGCGTGGCCACACACTTTCAACACTTTTAATTGTTTTTATAAAGTCTTTCTACCTTCCTCTACCTCTGAAATGTCACAGTGAGCAATGTAAATCGTTCCTGGAAGTGGTGGACTGTTTATAATGTAGCCAGTTTTTAAATGTCCAGTCTATTTTTAATTTATTTGTAAGCCCTTTTCAAACATTACCGTCTCTAAATTAGTGTTTTTTTCTTTTTAGAGTTAGGACCATGGCTGCAGACTAGTAGAGTTCATTGTTTGTAATGCCTGACTCGGCCTCTTCACCCAGAACACCAGTGAATAATCTAGCAGCCAGAGCTTCAGAACGCTCTATCTATATGTAGGAGAGATTGGGGGTTACAGTAGAGTTGGGAAGAGATCTGGGGCTACTTTTCTTAGGGTCATATTTATATAGTAAGCATGCTGCTTTACTTAGATTATTTGGGGTAACTTGGTAGAGCAGGGACAGATGGAAGTTAAGGCGGTGGCCTAAAGCTTTCCTTCAAAGCCAGACCTTGGGTCCATTATATTGTGTCCTCATTTACCTGTCTCATAACTGTCCCCCACCTCCTCACTAAAAATACAGATGTCATCTTACCTTTCATAGCTTCGTGTTCTTTACAGACAAGGCGGGAGCAGATTTCGTTGTTGATGATGTACATGCGTCGTAAACTGCCACAGTCCCAATAGTCAGGGTTAATAGTCACGGTTAAGGAAGGAGACAGAAAAAAAAACATTGAGAGGGAGAACTAGCATAGGCATAGTACTCCTGTATTCCCCTCTCTTCCTTATCTGGGCTTTCTTAAGTATTTTAGACTTTCCTCCCCACCTCCTCTCAAGGTGAAGGGGATAGAATGGTATTAATTATTCTTCCTAGTTACACTTTGCACACGCCACCTAGAGTCAAGCATAATACTCCTCCCCACTATTTTCTACCTTCAGACTTGGATCTTTCATTTCAGCCTTTTACTATGAGATAATAAGTTCAATATATCTGTGTTTCCCCCATGACTACCCTTCCTCCAGTCCTCACCTTCATTTGCCCTCTAGCATCTAGACTTGTTAGTCAACCTGTTCTCTGTATACCTCAATCCAGTCTCCAGGTTCTAGCTGGCACCTTCAGGAATAACTAGGATGGTTTTACTAAAAACTTTTGTTCCTTTAAAGATTAAAACTCCATAATGGGTGCTCATTAAATTGTCACTGACATGAAAACACTATCATGGAAGATGTTCTCTGGGTATTCTGGGATCCCTTACCTGGTGAAGCATAACTGATGAATGCATTGTTTGACTGGCCGATGCACAGAGTAGAGTCTTGTGCAAGCAAATTTCTCATCCCGGCACTCTGAAGAAGCCCAGCACAAAAAAACAGGGAGAGGCATAACAAGCATGAAAGGTATAAACAAAGGATTAAAGCTATGGAGGAGGAGTGGGAAAAACATACAAAGTAGCCTCCTCAGAGGATCATTGTAAGTTGGGCATCTCCTTCCTACTCACCAAAACAGCAATAGGAAATTGACTAAAATGAAATTTAGGTGCTTCCCTATTGCAGTAAAAGTGACTAAAATAATCTCTCAGAGCTCTTCTAGGAAAAAATCCTTTTAGGGCTATCCAGGTGGCAATATGAAATAGCAAACCCAAATGCTGATACCCATTCTGCAGAATGAGAGTTCTAAGGTGGGTAATTATTTCTCTGTTCCAGTAGTTTTCAACTCTAGCTGCACATCAGAATTATCAGTATATTAGAGAAAGCAATTTTAGCCATGCTATAATATCTATAGTAATATTGAGTCCTTGCAGAAACTTCCCAACCCACTAACCATAAATAAAGGCCAAGGGGAGTTTAGGGAAAGGATTGTTTTGGGATCATGTGACAGTTGTCCAGTCTTTATCTTTTCACCAAGAGTTTTAGGAAGAGAGCTAAAAAAGTGGGGGTTGGGGGAAGGAAGAATAAAGGATACTAAAAATATTTTTTGAGAAAGAATTGGATGTAAACTAGAATGTGTGTCCTTCAAAGAACAAGGAAGCAAAGCATCCTCAGGAAGAAAAGAAAAAAAAAGTCCTAGGAAAAAGACATGCAAAAGACAATCATACCTTCGGTGGTATTTTTATCATTGGGCAAAGCTAGAAGGCAGAAATTTTATTCAGTTATTACTAGTTCTGGAAGTCACTGCTTCTGTAACTGTCATGTTACCTCACTTGAGACCCATGTAGAATACCCATGTAGATAGGAAACAAATGAGTTAATAACTCTTTAGAAAACCCATAATGATTTATTTTGATGCAACAATTGAAGAGATTTAGAAGTTAGGGTGGGAACTATGATTTTGCCTTTCTCTCCTAGAGAACTGAGAAATGTTTTGTATTGAGTTGTTTACAATAAGCAAATTTAGCAGAACACAAGGCAAAGAGCTATATGTTCAGATGACCTTTTTCCTAGAGCTAAAGAGAGAAAAGACTTTTATCTTGTAGAAGCTCATCCTCAAGAAAGAAATGTTCTTCTCTGTAAATTAGATACATCATCATGGGTTCTTTTTTTTTTAATTTAAAATCATCATGTGTTCTTTGATAAAAGCTATTCGGTAAAGAATAGCAAGGGTCAAAGCCATAGTCACACCTAACCGAGGGGTAGTTTAAATATGGGCCTACTTTGAATGGAGAACAAATCAAAGAACAATGTGAATCTTGAGGGGACAGACTAACCATGGGAGTTACCTGTAAAAATGTGATCGGAAGTATTGCTAATAGGATACCATAGGAAGTGTGCCAGGTGATCTCATCTATCTCATGGGCTTCATTGCAGGTTTATATACTGAGAATTCTCTGATTTATACTTCTAGCCCAGGTCTGTCTTCTAAGCTCCAGACCTATAAACCCAACTGCCATTTTATGGCAGAGTTCATATCAGCTCAACAGTCTCCTCTTCCTTAAAGCTCACAGTTAATTCTCACTACCTCTACCTTACTTCAGGCCATCATCTTTTACTGGGACTACTGCAACAGCATCCTCATAGATCTGATTAGAACTTTCCTTTGCATAAACTATTCTATGATTGTTTTTCATTTCCATCATAAGCCTTTGCCTACACTGTTTTCTTTTTCTTTTTTAAAAATTTTATTGGGGAAGAGTGTTGTGGTGGGCGTTTTTTCCAGGACCCATCAGCTCCAAGTCAAGTGGTTGTTTCAACCTAGTTGTGGAGGGCACATCTCAGTGAACCATGTGGGGATTGAACTGGCAACTTTGATGTTATGAGCATGCGCTGTAACCCACTGAACTAACCTGCCGCCCCCTACATTGTTTTGTTTACCTAAAAGCTCGTCCCCCTTCCACTCACTTGATTCACTTCTACTTGTCTTCTAAGAAGCAACTTAGTCAAAGGGCCCTCCAGAAAAGTCTAACTCCTAACACTGAATATAGCCAAGGACCTCTTTTGAGTCTTTCACAGCTTCTTTTGCTTATCCTGTTAATAGCATTTTGTGGAACTGAATAAAGTTGTCTGGACATTTGTCTGTCTTGTCTATGAGACAAAAGATGTCTAGTAGAAGAAAATCAGTTTTTTTACCTTTATATCTGTGGAACCTAAGCAGCAGATTTTCAGTAAATATTTGTTAAAAATAATCTAATTTCAGGGCTGGCCGAGTGGCTCAGTTGGTTAAGAGCTCGCTCAAGAGTTTGAGCTCTGAGCAACAGCAGTTCGAGTCCAGCCCGAGCTGAGCAGCCGCTGAGCTGCCAATATGTAGCAGGATGGCTCAGCTAAAAAAATAAAATTAAAATTAAAAAATAATCTAATTTCTATCTTCTTTTCTCATGTCCTACTACTTGTTCCTTGTGGTTTTCCTTTGGCTGAAATGCGTATCCCCTTGACTGCCTGGCTTACTCCAGTTCCTTCAAGATTCATTTCGACCGTTTCTTCTCTTCTAGAAAGTTTTCCTTTATCTTCCCATACAGTTCTTTGTGCATATGTCTTGCCTTTACTCGTCTAGTCTTGGAAACTTTGAAAGATCACCTGTCAGTATTTTGTATATCACACACCTAGCACAGTTCCTGCTTGTTAGGGGATCAAAAAATGTCACTAATTTATACTTAACTGTTGGAAGAAAGTGATACATAAACTGTAACCCTGTCTACTTAGGATTCTTCACCAGCTGCACTGCCTTCCATAGTCGGCTCTGGGGAAAGCCCAGAACGGCCCCTGTGGCCCTGGGATCCCAGGTCCGAACTCACCCTGTTCATCTGTGGAAGGTTCGATATCAGCCAGAGCTGAAAAAGCACAAAACAGCAGGTGTGAGGAGGACTTTGAATTGGCGAGGGGGGAGGCAGAGTAGAAAAAGGCAGAACAGAGATTAGGGCCAAGTTAAGGCTATGGTTGGGTTTGTGTCTTATGTCCAATGGAATAGAGTTAATTGAAGTAATTGTGAATATTTTTTGGAAGAATATTTGGCCTATTGACATTAATTTTTGGAAGCCTTTATCATCCATGCCTTATTTTAGCTATTACTCTGCTTTGTTTTATGTTTTTAGAGGACTAGGAGGCCTCTCTTTCCTTTTTTCCCACTGTCACTGAACAACACGCCCACAATCCTTTTAACCCTTTCCCAAAGATAAAAACATAGGATTAACTCCAGTGCTGGAATAAACACTGTGAGTACTAATGAGAATCGTGCCGTTTTTTAAGAACTGTAGTAAAACTTACCTGTTTCATGTGTAGAGGGTTCATTTACCAGGTCTGCAAAGATACAACACAGAGAATGAAAAATGCAGGTAGGAAAAGTAGAAAGGGAAGTAGGATATGGGATGATGATCTAAAAAGGGGCAAGAAAGATCAAAGTTAAACAATGTGGACGGGCTCGCCGAGTGGAGCGATGGTTAAGAACTGGCTTGGGACACCAGAGGGCCCCGGTTCGGATCCCACATATGAGGGCCAGTGATATTGCCCTCTACAGCTAAGATGCTGAACAACAGCTCAACCTGGAGCTGGGCT